GAATCCTGCCAGGGCTGTGACCCTGGGGCAAGTTTCTTTTCTTATTTGTGAGTTGAGGAGATGAGTTTTCCAGCCCTGTCTCATTGATAGATTCATTCATTCATTCATTCTTCACTTTTGGTGTATGTGAGTGCACACGGAGTCACTCTTGCACATGCCATATGCTAGCTGGCCCTCAGGCCTCTACAAATTCTCTTGTGTCTGCCTCCCATCGTCCCATAGGAATTCCGGGACTACAGACACATGCACTACTGCATCAGGCTTTATATGGGTTCTGGGGATCTGAACTCATGTGAGGCTTGCACAGCAAATGCTTTACCCACTGAGTCATCTCAGTGCTTTTTTAAAAATGCAGTCTCAGGGCTGGAGAGATGGCTCAGTGGTTAAGAGCACTGACTGCTCTTGCAAAGGACCTGGGTTCGATTCCCAGCAACCACATGGCAGCTAATGTAACTCCAGTTCCAGGGGATCCGACGGTCTCTTCTGTCCTCCGTGGGCATTGCATGGGTGCACTTACCAACATGTAGGCAATACATGTACACACATAAAATAAAAATAATAAAATATTTTTTAAAAAATCAAACACAAAGCCCAGAGATACATTTCTGTAGCCCCAGCACTTGGGAGGCATATGCTGAACTGCTGTAAGTTTAAGTTCAGCCTGATCTACATAGCAAATACCAGATCAGCCCAGTCTACATAGCAAATACCAGATCAGCCCGGTCTACATAGCAAATATCAGATCAGCCTGGTCTACATAGCAAATACCAGATCAGCCTGGTCTACTTAGCAAATACCAGATCAGCCTGGTCTACATAGCAAATACCAGATCAGCCTGGTCTACATAGCAAACAGATCAGCCTGGTCTACATAGCAAATTCAGATCAGCCTGGTCTACACAGCAAATTCAGATCAGCCTGGTCTACATAATGAGACCCTGTCTTCAAAAAAAAAAAAAGAATGGGAGGGATACCTGTTCAAGGTTTCCATTTTACCTAAAAACTAGATATACAGCCAAGAGTGACTTTGAACTTCTGATTTTCCTGACTCCACCCCTCCCAAGTGCTGGGATTAGATGTGTGGGACACCAAGCCAGGTCTAAATGATACTGGGATGGAACCGAGGGCCTTGTGCATGCTAGGCAGGCATTCTATTGACTAAACTATATTCCCAGCTCCTTGCCTTTAATTAATAACGTAGCATATATACTCAAGATTACTTCCAAATACATTTTTTGAGAGAGTCCCATGCTGGGATTATAGGTGTGCATCACCATGGCGGCCTTTTTAAAAATATATATATTTTATTTATTATTTTTATTTTATGTGTATGTATGTGTTGCTTACATGTAGGTAAGTGCACCCTAGAACTGGAGTTACGAACAGTTGTTAGCTGTCATGTGGGTGCTGGGATTCGAACCCAGGTCTTCTGCAAAAACAATCAGTGTTCCTAACTGCTGAGCCATCTCTCCAGCCCCCAAGCCTGCCTTTTTAGGTAGGTCCTGGACCTCCAAATTCAGAAATTCATGCCTGTAATGCAAATGCTTTACCTTGTCAGCTGTCTTCCCCACTCGTTTGTCTAGTTATCTTTACCTATCTATTTTTTCTTTTTGTCTTTCTGAGACAGGGTCTCCCTGTAGCCCCAGCTGTCCTGGAACTCACTATGTAGACCAAGCTGGCCTTGAACTCACAGGGATCTGCCTGCCTCTGCCTCCGAGTGCTGGGATTAAAGGCATGCACCACCACGCCTGGCTATTATTTTTATTTTATGTGTAAGGGTGTTATGCCTGCATGTAGGTAAGCGCACCATGCTCAGCTTTCCCTGCTCTTTTACAGAATGACTGCCCCTAGGATTTTTTTGGAAGGGAGGGCTGCAGGGGGTATGAAGAAAACAGATGGTGGCTGGAGAGATGGTTATTCTTGTAGAGGATCTGGGTTCAGATCCCAGCACCAACATGATGCTCACAATTGTTTGTAACTCCAGTTCCAGGGGATCTGACTCCCTCTTCTGACCTCCCCAGGCATTGCACGACACAGGTGCACTCACACACATGCAGGCAATACACTCATACACATAAAATAAAAATAAAATATTTTTGGAAAAAGAAAAAAAAAGGAAAGCAGAGATGTTGGGGTGAATTCAGCATACAGAACTGAGGCGAACTCTGTCCTGGTACTAGCAGACTCAGCCCTCTCTCCCCTCTCTCCCCTCCTCCCTGAGTGGGTTCTGAAACAAGGCTTGTCACAGCGGCCTGAGGAAAAACCTGGGATAGAGCACAAACAGTCCCCCATCTTCACAAAGTCCATCCCCTAAGCAAGCCTTCCTGAAGTATTTCCAGGCCCTTCTGGCCATGCGCTCATCTAGAAGTTAACTACTTTGCTTCCCAGAACCTGAGAAGCCAACAGGAATGCCCCTTCCCTTCTCCAGTGGTAGGCAGTGCCAGCCCTGTGTCCCTAGGGATAGGGAAGGGGCGTTTAGGAACATCCATCCTGGGCTGTTTGCCAGGACTTGGGGCAAAGCAAAGGCAGAGGGCCCTGGTAGCTAAGGATGGGCCTGGACCAGCTCAGGCACGGCTTGCCCTCTGGGAACCCTGAGCCCATTGTGACCTTTCTTTGACTTCCCCACCCTCTCACCCAAGATTTCTTTTCTGTTTTGGTTTTTCGGACAGTTTTAGGCCCAGTTGGCCTGGAATTCACTATGTTGACCAGGCTAGCCTTGATCTCACAGACATCTGCCTGCATGTGCCTCCCAAGTGCTTGGAATAAAGGGTGCCACCACACCTGGCTTGAGGGTTTTTTTGGGGGGGGTTGTTTTGTTTTTAATATTTTATTTTTTATTTTTTATTTTATGTGTATGCGTATATTGCCTTCATGTAGGTAAGTGCACCCGTGTCGTGCAATGCCTGCAGAGGACAGACGAGGCCATTGGGTCCCCTGGAGCTGGAGTTGTTAGCTGCCATGTGGACAGTTGTTAGCTGCCATGTGGGTGCCGGGAATCGAACCCAGGTCTTCTGCAAGAACAACCAGTGTTCTTAACCGCTGAGCCACCTCTCCAGCCCCCGAGGTTGTTTGTTTTTTTTTTTTTAATGTCAATGCTGTTGTAATGAAATGCTTCTAATTATGTGGTTATTAAATAATTTTTTAAAAACCTGGAGTTCTGATGTTCTAGTGCCCTCTACTGCCCAGAGAGCAAAATTAACCTAACCTCCCCTGCCCGGAAACTGTTTCCTAAATGAAAACAAAAATGTTTATTTGTTAAATGTATAGAATCTGTTCATAAAATAAAATAATACTGAAATTAACCCTGAAAAAAAAAAAAAAAAAAAAAAAAAAACCTCCTGTTTCCCTGTCTCTGATCAGGCTACACCATCCCTTGCCACAGCCTTTGACGCAATTGACCTTGATTATAAAACTGGAGTTTCTGAAGCTGGGGTTGATGGTGCACTCCTGTAATCCCAGCACTCAGGAAGCTGAGGCAGGATGATCACAAGTCTGAAGGCAGTCTGGGCTACATAGCCAGACCCTGTTTCAACCCACCAAGAAAACTGAGCTCTCAGCTGGTATAGGTCAGTTGGTAGAGTGCACATGCAACTGCGTAAACCATGCATAGACATGTAATCCCAACAGTCAGAACATGGCAGAGGATCAGAAACTTAAGATCATCCCTGCAAAACAAAAACAAAAAAATGGAGTTCTAGAGACTTGCTCTCTGTAGCAGCCAATGAAGTTGCTGAAAGTGTGGCTTCAGTGCACTGACCTGCCCAGGAATCCTGCCGGGCAGCCTGCACCTTCCCGCAGCCTGAAATGGAATAAGAATAGCACCTCCTTGACACCTTGGGAAACCACAATGAGAGTACAACTCAGGTTCCAAGGCTGGCCCCACCAGCAGGGACCCCCCCATTCTGTTTTCTTTCACCTGCTTCAATACAGTTCCTTTTCCTGTAGTTCATAAAAACGTTCTCTGGATGTTTGAGGTTTGTCTGGCCAAGGGGAGGCAGTAGGGAGCCGGACAGGTGCTGCCCTGGGATGTCCTTCCAGGCTTGGGAAGGAGAACCACCCCGTGACAGGCCAATACTGTCACAGCTGCCCCAGGATGCAGAAGAGGCTTTCCCAAGACACTTCCTAGCATCTTAGTTCTATTTCCACTTACAGCACTTAGGCAATTTCAAGTCCTCGTTTATTGTCTGTATCTAAATGTCAGTTCTGTGATAAGAGATACTAGTCCACCTTGTTCACACCTGGTGTCTCTAACAGTTCCTGGCACACAATTGGGGCTAATGAGTATTTGTTGAATAAAGTCAGCTGTATCCCTGCATGGAAGACAGGAGGTGGAGTTGGGATGGTGAAAAGGAAAAGACAATAGAAAATGTGTTCTAGGTGGAAAGTAAAGTGCAAAGAGGCCAAGGCTTGGCGGGGTGGAGGAAGGACCCAGAACACTGAGAAACAAGGCTAGAGGGCAATATCCAGGACCTGGACTTGTCTAGAAAGTAACGTGGAAACCACGTGGTCCAGCGTGTGTTTAGAAAAGCTAGGAGGAGGGAGGGAAAAGAATAAAAGTAGGGAGACGCCAGCCTGGGCTACAAGAGACTACCTCAAAAAGCAACCCCCCCACACACACACAACAAAGGAGGGATGGAAGTTGGCTTTCAACTTCAGCATGGAAACTGGAATCCGATACAGTGACTATAACAGGAGTTTTGTTACGAGGCTGGACTCAGCAGCTAGGGCCAGGCAAGGTATGAATGGACCGAGGAGTCTAGCATGCAGGCTAGATTTCCCGCTTACGCGATTGGGTGGCCTACGTGTCACTCTCAAAGATGGACAGTTTTGGAGGCGGGACATAGCCGAAAGGTCTCTCCTTTATTCGCCGCCCCCTGCGTGGTAGGATGGTGTCAATTGGCCAGTTCGAGGAACGTGCCAGAAACAGCCAGGTGGACGGAAGGCGTGTCTGGCGCTGCTTCCTAGAGCCTTCCCGGCTGCTGCTTCCGGCAACCTCAGCGCAGGAACTTCCGGTCGGCGCGGCCATCTTGACTTCCTGACCTTGGAGTCCGGCTGGCCGCGGTTCTCGGTCTCTCGTTCCGTCATGTCCGCGCTGACGCCGTTGCTGCTCAGGGGCCTGACCGGCTCTGCCCGGCGACTGGCGGGACCGCGCGCCCAGGTCCACTCGAGGCCGCCGCGGGAGCAGCTCAGGCCGCTAGTGAGCGGGGCAGGGAGGGCGCGGGGCGAGCTCGGGCCTGTGGGAGGCCGAGGGGACCAGCCGCCTGGGTGCTCCGAAACCTTAGGTCTTTGCCCCAGGAGCTCAGGTCAGCCCTGCCCTTGCTTACTGCCTGCGCAGCCTCCTTAGCTTTCTCTGATCCGGTTCACCCTTCCATGTATTGGGGATGCCTGATGCCTGGCTGCGACGGGAATGGTTGTTACCGCTGCTTTTTATATAGGGAGAGTGCAGAGGACCCGAAAGGTCTTTGGAATTCCCAGAAATGTAATAGCATTTAGTGCTTGAGGATAGTTTGTTTTTTTGAGACAAGGCTCCTGGAGTCCTGGCTGGCCTTGAACTCATCTTGTAGCCGTGGTTGACCTTGAACTGATAATCCGTTCTGTGCCTCCTCAGTGCTAGAGTTACAGACGTGATCCACCACTCCTGTTTTATATGGATTCCACGACCATACCCAGGGCATTATGTGTGGCAAGCACTTTACAAACAGCGACACCCCTAGCCCAGGCCCCTCTCCCCTTTGGGGAAGTTTTTATTATACTCATAGACAGAGCCTGTCCTTGAATCCAGGCTCCTAGGCAGGTTGAGGCAGGACTGAACTCTGGGTTCTGGCCAGCCTGAGCAACATTAGGAGACCCTGTCCGGAAAGCAAGGGCCTGGGTGCTGGAAAGATGGTTCAGGGGTTAATATTTGCTGAGTAATCTTGGGGACTGGAATTCAAATCCCAACACCCGTGAAACAACCCAGGTGTTCTGCAAATGCCTGTAATGCCAGCTCCAAGGGATCCAACACCCTCTTCTGGCTTCTGGGAAACACAAGTGTGCTCTCAGATGCATAAAATAAATTTTTAAGGGCCTACAGAAGTGACTCAAGTGACTGGCTAAAGCCGGGCATGGTAATGCATGTCTTTAATCTCAGCACCTAGGAGACAGAGGCAGGAGGATCTCTTGAGTTCCAGGCAGTCTGGTCTACATAGTGACTTCCAGGCCAGCCAGGGCTGCATTTTGATACCTGTGTCAAAAAAGAATAACGGTCAAGTGCAGTAACCCACACCTTTAGTCCCAGCACTGAGGAGGCAGAGGCAGGCAGATTTCTGTGAGATCAAAGCCAGCCTGGTCTACATAGCAAGTTCCAGGCCAACTGGGACTACAGGGAGATCTTGTAGCCCTAGCTGACCTGGAACTCGCTATGTAGACCAGGCTGGCTTTGAACTCACAGAGGTCTGCCTGCCTCTGCCTCCCCAGTGCTGGGATTATGAGTCCCAAAGACTAACAGTCCTGGAGAGCAGGGGGCTGGGAGGGGTTTTAAGACAAGGAAAGGACGTGCAGTTTTGGAGCCTTTGCCCTCTGAGGTTTCCAAGTCTCCCTAGATCAGCTTGAAAAGAGATTTAAATCTTCTACTTTATCATCTGGTGATTTCTCCCCAGATCCTAACCGGGGCTGCTCCTCTTTCCCAGCAATTGTCAGCCTCTCTGTAACTGACCCTATGTCATCTGTAATGAGGTCCCCTTTTGGAGTAAGAGTCAGCGGTGTCCCCCCCCAAGGGGCTGAAGTAGCTTTCTTTTAATGTGGGGCATGGGGGAGGGGCAGCTTTGTCCTCTGAGGCTGCTGTACCTAGGAATCCTTATCCTGAGGGATCCTTCTTTCCTGCTCTATATAGGATGTCGCTGTTGGGCTTACTTCCTGCTTCCTGTGTTGCTTCCTGCCTGCCGGCTGGGTCCTATCACACCTGGAGGACTACAAGAAGCGGGAGTGAAGGGCCCTGTCCTCCCTTTATCCTGTGCTCAGACCACCATTGCCATCCCGTCTTGATCATGTTTCCTGCATTCCTGGCTGGCCTCCTGGATCATGTTGTGCAATTCCAGCCACCTTTTCTGAATCATGACCTCTGATGTCTCCATGGTGACATCTGGGACCACGTATATTGGCTCTGCCTGGTGGGGTCCCCCTTGTAACAATAAAGTCTATTTAAACCTTGCTGCAGAAATGCATGGTGCCTCCTGCCCAGGCTTCTGCTCCCATACAGGATGGGGATGCCAGAGGAGGGTGCACAGAGGAACACCTGGCTAAGTACAGGCACCAATGCCATCTGAGGTTTGTTGTGCGTGTGTGTCAGCTGGATTTTTTTTTTTTTTATGATTTTTATTTTGTGTGTATTGCCTGCATGTAGGTAAGTGCACCCGTGAATGCCCACGGAGGACAGAAGAGGCTTTTGGATCCCCTGGAACTGGAGTTACAGACAGTTGTTAGCTGCCATGTGGGTGCTGGGATTCGAACCTGGATCTTCTGCAAGAACAGTGTTCTTAACCACTGAGCCATCTCTCCAGCCCGTCAGCTGGACTTTCTTAATTTAAATGGCTTCTGAGCAGTCCATGTTGCTCATCCCCTCCAGCCCCCTTTCCTGTGCCAAGTTCATTGGCTCTGTGTATGGGCATGTGCGTGTATGTAGGGCTAGGTCTGTAGCTGGGGGTCTTTTTATTGAGCAGGGCAGCCTTCCCTCTTCCTCTGGTGGGCTTATGGTGCAGGTGCTTGCTGCCCTTCCTGGCTCGAGTACACATAGTCTGCACTATCTTTTGAGTACTGACTGGGGTGGCACCCAAGGCATTGCATGCTGGGCAAGTTTTAGCACTTTTTATGTCAAATCCAGGACCCCTTTCAGCACTGTCTGTAAATGTTTATTGACTGGTCTTCCTTATTGTGTCCTATGCCTTCCCACCTGGAGACTGCTGCTCCTCACTGTCCTTCCTGGCGCTGCTGGGGGCAGCATGTGCCAAGGTGGAGCCCTAACTGCCCAGGTCTGGCCTCCCAGTCAGTCTTGGCCTCCCCTCCACCATGACATGGCTTTAGCTTACTTTGACAAATCCCCTGGGGTTGGAACAGTGGACAGAGATGGCAGATCAGAGCTGAGGACTGTGGTCAGGTTTAGGCCCTGGATGTCAGCACATCCTGGTGTCCTGCACTCATTTCTCAGAAGCTCCAGGTGGAGTGTTGCTACCTCCCCCTCCTATTTCCATCTTCTCAGTGTGGTGTCTGGTGATGCCTATATACCCAAGGCCACAGTACTGCAGCAAGCTCAGCTCCTTTTGCGCAGGGGTGAGGGGTCTTATTGAGACAGGGTCTCCCTATAGTCTCAGCTGGCCTGGAATTATGTAGACCAGGCTAGCTTTGAACTCAAGATCTGCCTGCCACTGCCTCCTGAGTGCTGGGATCAAAGGTTTACCACCGTGCCTGGCTCAAGCTTAGTTATACCTGTGAATGCTTCCCTAAGAGTAGGAAGGGGCTCCCAGTCACCTGTCCACACAAACCAGCCCTGGTGTCCCATTCAAGGAATTAGGCTGTGGGCCACCTGCCTAGCCTGGTGCCAGAGTGGGCTGAGGATGCCACAAGGTCAGCACAACTTGAGAAGTTGGCCAGGGAGGAGGTATACTCAGGTTGATTCTGAAGGGGTAATCTAGTGTTCAGTGTGGTGGCCCATAGTTGTAAATCACAGCACTTGGAGGCTGAGGCTGGATGATCAAGAGTTTCAGGTCAGCCTGAGCTACAAAGTGAGACAGTGTCTCTTAAAAAGCCTTAAATGGGGGTTGGAGAGGTGAGTCAGCAGTAAAAAGTGCTTGCTGCTTTTGAAAAGGACCCAAGTTTGGTTCTTAGCCCCCACATTGGGTAACACAACCACCTGTACTCCAGCTTCAGGTGACTGGATGCCCTCTTCCAGCCTCTAGAGTCACCTGCACTCATACATGCACAGACACATAACTAAAAATAAATCTTAGACCTGGAGAGATGGCTCAGAGGTGCTCATAAAGGACCTGGCTTCAATTTCCAGCACCCATGTGGTTAACAAGTATCTGCTACTCCTGTTCTAGGGGCTCTGACCACCCTCTTCTGGCCTCTGTAGGCACTGCATGCACATGGTGTGCTTACATACATGCAGGCAGAACACTCAAAATAATTAAAAATAAGATTAAAGATTCCTAAATAGATAAAAGCATGTCCTGGCCAAGTATCCTCATGGCTATCCCCTCCCATGTGCCAGGATCATCTGTGTTTACACAGGAGGCTTTCCTGGCTCACAAGCTCTGGGCAGGGCAAAAGCTGGGTTTCCACAATCCTTGATTCCTTGTGGAACTGTGAACCCCCAGTGTGAGGGAGCTGGGTAGGGGTGGCCGGGGCCATTCTGACCAGGCCTCTGCTGCCCTGAAGAGGGCCTCCAAACTGTCTGGCTCTGCAGCAGCTCAGTGTTGCCTTCCTGTTCTCAGAGCCGTGGGCTGCCTCAGCCAGGATGCAGCACCAGAAGAGAGTTCCTATGGTAACCATTACAGCATCAAGGATTTCATTAGTTATCTCCCATTTTTTGCCCTTGGAACTCAAAGGGATAGATGACAGACACCTTACCCAAGGAGAGCTGCCCCCAACCAAAGATCTTGAGTCACAGCTCAAGCTTCTGGGAAGCCAGTCCCTGAGCCCTTTAAGCAGGTTCAATAGTTCCCCAGGGGAGTGAAGGTGGGCAGGACAATAGGCTTGGGACAGAAAGAATTTAGAATCCCACTGTTAAATAGAGTGCCACCTACTTAGGTGAGGTCATCCTCCCTTGGTCCTCTTGGGCCTGGAATCTATCACCTTCACTGATCTCTTGCCCCCAACTGAGTCAAGGTTCCTGAAACTGCATCCTGTGCCGGAGCTGCATTTGTGTCCTGTTCTGGTGTCTGTCTGGTGCACAGTGGAAGTCAACGGTGGGGCTATAGTCACCGTACAGCAGAGGCTCCAGTGGGCCATTTATGTCATGCCCCATTGAGTCATGCAGGCTTGAGTTTCAGTTTTCAGGATTGCAAATTGATGTGACAGGAAGAGTAATGTCACAGCTCTAATCCCTGAGCGTATGAAGTTATTTTACTCAGCTGAGGTGATTTTGCAGACTCGATTAAAGTTAAGGACCTTGAGATGGGAGATCATCCTGAATTATGAGTAGCCCAAGTGTAATCAGACATACCCTGCAAAGAAGCTGGGCCTTGCTGGCTTTCACCTTATAGAAAATGGGCCATGAGCCAAGGAACGCTGAGGCCAGAAAGTAGAACAGTCCTCACTTTAGAGCCAACAGGGCGGGAGACCTCTGTCCAACAGCTACAGGGAACTATTTGCCAGTCATCCAGGGAAGAAGGAAATAGATTCTCCCTCAGCCTCTGGAGAGGAGCAAAGCCTCCAGGCATCTTGGCTTTAGTTCTGATTTCCATAGCTGAGCTATGATGTGATAAGGTGATTTGTTCCAGCAGCCAGGGGAGAGTCCTTCAGTCATGGGCCTTAGGGGTGGGCTGGCACCAGTGGATTAAACACAGAGGACTAGGAGTGTGGATGGAACTCTCCCTTTGTTCCCTAGCTCCCTTCCCCCCTGGTCTTCTGCATCATGTGGCTTGGATCCTAAGGTGACTATCACAACCCAACTGTCTGCCCCAAAGTCCAGCCCCTGCTCAGCTCTGCAGGCCTGGCCTCTGCAGTGACTATCACCTCCCTAGACTCTGGTTCAGGACTGGCTGCCTTTGGGTCCTAGTAAGTACAGCAGTGCAACTCCAGAGGTTTATGCAAGGGCCCACCATGCCCCTGTTCCTGCCCTGTGGGATTCCTAAGCCTGCGACAGGAAGGAGCACCCACCCTTCCAAGCCCATGGCTTCCTTCAAGGAGTATGGCTGTGCTAGGGTCCACAGCATGCCCGTTTTCTCGGTCCACTCATCTTTACCCCACCCACTATAGCGGCTGTTCCTCTGGGGCTATTTTCATAGCCTATTGTTTCCTATGAGGACTTGTGCCCTCACCTGACAATCCCATGGACCTAGATGTGGACCCCAGCACACTCACAAACAGCAGGACTGTACGGCAGCCTGGGAGGTGGCATCTGGGTCACGCTGGTCCTTTGCTTGTCACCTTTGTGACTTTGCAACAAGAAGCCTGAACCACCCACCCACCTACCTGTGCTACTATTTATTTGATTTTTCGGAGACATGGTCTCATGTATCCCAGACTGGCTTCGAACTCACAATGTAGTTGAAGATGACCTACTTCCAATTCTCCTCTACCTCCCCAATGCTGGGTGGGATTCCAGTCGTCCACCACTATGCCGGTTTTTAATATAGTGATGGGGATGAAACCCAGGGCTTTCTGCACACCAGGCAAGCACTCTACCAAGATTCATCCCTAGCCCATGGCTAGCTAGTGTGTGTGTGTGTGTGTGTGTGTGTGTGTGTTTCAGGTCAAGGTTGCAGAAGCTGACTTGGATATCTTCCTAAATTACTCTTTACCTTATTTTTGGAGACACAGTTTCTCATTGAACCTGAAGCTTAGTGTTTTGGTTAGATCAGCAAGCCCTTAGGATATACCTGTCTCCATCCCTCCAGCGCTGGAGTTAGGGGAGTGTGCTGTTAACAGCAGGTTTATGTGGGCGCTGGTCATCTGAACTCGGGTCTTCCTGCTTTCACAGCAAACACTTTACCCAGGGAGCCATCTCCCTTGTGTACTTTTGTTTTTGTTTGGTTTTTTCCTTTTTTGAAACTTTGGGACAATTTTATTAGAATGTAAGGAAAATTCCTCAGGGCAGGCAAGGTGTAAATCTCAGCAGTTGCCTTGCGGGGAAAGGAGGGGAGAAGAAAAAACAGCCATGAGGCTGTGCTGGTTTAGAGCCCGCATGGAGGTCAGACACCAGTGGTGGACTAGCAGCCCACTGGCAGGGAGGGAAGGCTTTAGAGAAAAAGCCTAAAATGTTGGCCGCCCAGGGGATTGGGGAAAGCATGATTAGAAGAGATGAAGAAAAGGGAGGGGGGCTTTTCTGAAGAATTCAGACATGGGAGACCATGTCTGTGAGCAGCCAGGTCCACAAGAACTGCCTTTTATTTTAACTATTTTTTTTTTTACAAGAAGCATTTCATTACAACTTTAACATATTCAGTAACAAGTTCCAGAGCAAGGATACACCTCTTTCAAAAGTAGCCGTAAATTTTTAGGTTCACAGTTGAATACGGTTATACAATATTGAACTCAGTATAAACCCCCAGAGAAGGTGCTGGCATCAGGACCAACTTTTATTTATTATTATTATTTGATCTTTATAGACAAGGTCTCCTTGTAACCCCAGCTGGCCTGGAATTTGCTATTTAGATCAGGCTGGCCTTGAACGCACAGAGATCTGCCTGCCTCTGCCTCCTCAGTGCTGGGATTAAAGGTGTGTGCCACCACGCCCGACTTATTTTTTTTTGAGACAAGATTTCATATTGCTCATATTGCTGCCCAGGCTGGCCTAGAACGCTCAACAATGCTCCTGCTCCCTGAATGCTGGGATTACAGGCCTGAGTCACCAACCCAGTTTATGCATCTGTTTTTGTTACTGGCCCAGGACATTTGTGGGTGGAAAATTGGGAGGCGGACAATGTCTGGGGCTGTGCCAGGGACTGTTCGCCAATCTGCAGGTGGGATTAGATGCTTCAAGATAGAGAATCAGAAGCCTAAAATAGTGAAATGTGCGGGACAGATGGAACAGGAGTAAGAGAACAGTTATTAACCACTAGATAAATGGGCATTGAGAAGAGCTTCGTGAGCCAGGCACGACGGCAGACGCCTATAATGCCAGCACTTGGGATGTGGAAGCAAGAGGATCAGTTCAAGGTCAGCCTTGGCTACATAATGAGTTGGAAGGCAGCCTGGGCTACATGAGATCCTGTCTCAAAAATAAATATGAAAGCATGGGCTTGACTGGCAGTGTAACTCAGCAGTAGATCATGAGCTCAGCATTCAAGAAGCCTGGTCCAATCCCTGGCACAGTACGTAAATACATAAAGCAAGCAAGGGCTTAACAGAAAAGGAAAACATTCAAGGGTAGAAGGGTTAGGAGGGGCTAGAAAGAAATAGGTGTGCCAGGCATGGCACACACCTTTAGTCCCAGCACTCAGGAGGCAGAGGCAGGCAGATCTCTGTGAGATGGAGGCTAGCCTGGACTACATAGTAAGTTCCAGCTGGAAGACCCTCTCTCAAAAAGAAAGGCAGGAAGGCAGAAAGGAAGGAAGGAAGGAAGGAGGGAAGGAGGGAGGGAGGGAGCGAGGGAGGGAGGGAGGGAGGAAGGGGACCGGCAGAATGAGTGAAGGCAAAAGACTCAACCCTCATGTGGAGAAGAGTGAGTTTAATTCTATTAGCAGGGCTTTTTTTATTTTTGTAATTTATTATTTTTATTTTATGTGTATGAGTGTTTTGTCTGCATGTATGTGAGGGGACCTGTGCCATGCAATGCCTGCGGAGGTCACAAGAGGGCATTGGATCCCCTGGAACTGGATTAAGGACAGTTGTTAGCTGCCATGTGGGTGCTGGAATTTGAACCTGGGTCCTCTGCAAGAGCAGTCAGTGATCTTAACTGCTGAGCCATCTCTCCAGCCCAGTAGTGCTTTTTTTATACTCTCAAAACTATAGTCACAAGTTTGGTGTTTGTGCCAGAATACATGAAAGAATTAATTTCACAAAACACATTCTAGAGGTTTACATTTAAAATTAATCAGTAGGCTACAAAGAGTATAGTAGTTTTTTACACAAGCCATAGATTTGAACAATTTTCAGGAGGGCTAGTCAGCCAGTGAGTATGTTTAACATTAAACAATCATCCTATGTTTTGCAGTACCATGACTTAGATTTAATGATGTTTTTCTCTGATCTATGACTAAGAGTCTGCTGAGCCCAACATTCTTATTTTAGGAAATGTGTGGACCTCTTCCCTGACCGTTCTTAACCTCTTCTTTGCTGTTCTCCTTCAGAGCATGGCTGCACACGTCTTTAATCCCAGCCCTTGGCAGAGGCAGGTGGATCTCTGTGAGTTCCAGGCCAGCTGAGGCTACCGGGAGACCCTGTCTCAAAAAAAAAAAAAAGAAAGTTGTCCATCAGATTGCCCTATACGCAAGTCCGTGAGGCATTTTCTTAATTGTTCCTACCCTACTGCTCAGCCCGCCTTTGTCAGACAGAATGGGAAGGATACGGCCAAAGGAAAAGGGAAGCTTTGGCAAGATTCAGCCAGGATGGTCAATTTTTGCTCACCATTTTTTTTTTTGAGACATGGTCTCATGTAGCCCAAGCTAGCCTCCAACTCGAGGCTACCCTTAAACTCCCGAGCCTCCTTGTTTCCACATCCTAAGTGGTCAGATGAGGGGAGTTAAGTCCTCGCTTTTTAAAATGATCCTGCTTTCTCTACCAGCAAGACCGCAGGACCCAATGTCTGAGGCTTTTGGTTTTGACACAAAGGGAAGATGCGGGGGCTGGAGAGATGGCTTTGCATTTAAGAGCACTGGCAGCTCTCAAAGAGGACTGGGGTTCGATTCCCAGCACCCACACGGCGGCTACCGTCTTTGACTCCAGTTTCAGAGGAACCCAACGCTCTCTTCTGACCTCCGAGGGCATTGCACATACATACATGTAGGCAATACACTCATACACATAAAATAAAAATATTTTTCTCCCGGGTGTGGTAGGGCACGCCTTTAGTCCCAGCACTCGGGAGGCAGAGGCAGGTGGATCTCTGGGAGTTCAAGGCCAGCCTGGCCTACAAAGTGAGTTCCAGGACAGCTGGGGCTTCAGAGAGACCCTGTCTCAAAAAGACCAAAAAATATAATAAAATAAAAAATATTTTTAAAAAGTAAACAAAAAAAGGGAAGATGCTCTTCCTGCCGCAAGCCAGGTCCCCAAAGCCGGCAGAGGGGCTCGGTGGGTGGACAGGGGCAAGGGGCCTTGAGCTTGGGGCTCCGAAGGGCGTCAGGATGGTGGCCCCACACTCCGCAGTGCAGCTAAGTGCGTACAAGGAGGGCAGGGGCCCGCAGCGGGGATGCTGCCTGCAGCCGGGATGCAGCCTGCCGGGACATTAATCTTTTTCCTCCCTATCGGTTACACAACCTGCGCTTCAGACTGCAGTGAGTGGAAAGTAGCGTTGGCTGGAGGGGCTCTTAGCACCCCAGGACGCTCGGGAGCGTGAGAACACGGAGGCCAGGGCCACCGCCGGTGCCGGGCCGGGTCGTAGCATCCCGCCAGCGGAGGGGCGCCTGTTGCTAGGGGCGTCGCGAAGGCGGGGCCACAAGGAGGCTCCCTTCCGGGAGGAGGGCGACTTATAACCCGGAAGCGCTCGGCGGTGCGGCGCTGTTTAAAGATGGCGGCGGAGGAACCTCAGCAGCAGAAGCAGGAGCCGCTGGGCAGCGACTCCGAAGGTACGGACCGAGGGCGGGAGGTCCAGCGCGGGCTGGCGAGGGCGAGACGCGGCCGGTGGTGGCCCACGAGGACGGGAACGCTGGGCCGCCTGGGTCGGTGTGCAGCATGCGACGGCCGCCTCCTCCGCCGCGGCCTCCCCTCCCCCTCACAATGGAAGCTGC